CTCTTTTAAGGAGGAACTTGTTTGATTGGGAGTTGGAAGAATTCTTGGAGCTGCTGAAGACCCTCTTTAGCCAGAAGATTGATGGATTGGGGGAGGATGAGTTGTGCTGGAAGTGGAAGTCGGATGGGATCTCTACTGTGAAGTCCATGGCTGATAAATTATGTAGTGAGGGGCATGCTGATTTCCCAGCTGCTCTGATTTGGAATCCGATGAGCCCTTCTAAAGCTAACTTTCTAGTGTGGACGATGGCTCTGGACAAGTGTCTTTCAAGATCAAATCTGCTGAGAAGAGGCATTCCAATTATGGATCCAAATTGTGTTTTTTGTGGGAAGGATGCAGAAACTACAGATAACTTATGTCTTCATTGTCCGTTCTCTCTTTAGATCTGGATGCATTTTTTCCAAGCTTTGGGTGCTAAGTGGGTCATGCCAAGATCAGTTAAGGACCTCCTCTGTTGTTGGAAGCTGAAGGGTCTGAATAAGAAGGGAAGACTTATGTGGAATACAATCCCAGCTGCTGTGTTGTGGTCCATTTGGACTGAGAGAAATGGTAGAATTTTCTGTAATAGGTCAAAGGATTTGGATGATGTAATTCAGAAAGCTATGGGTAAGCTGATTTCTTGGATTTCCATTTCTGGGGAGTTTAGGAATATTAGCTTGCCTGTTTTATTTCAATCTTGTTCCTGGTGGAAGTTGTAATCTTGGCTGCTTTTGAGACTGCCTTTTTGGGTCTGAATTGCAGTTTGTTTGTGTTGAATAAATTTACTTTACCTTTTCCAAAAAAATTAGAGGTAACCAAAAACCTGTCTAGTCTCATAAGAGTAGGGATATCTTGATTGTTGGTCCAAGTAAACCGACTACCATGAAGGGGTAAGTCTATTAATTCAAATCTGTTGATGAAGTCAGCAAACTGAATCATATCCTTGGATCTTCTCCCTCTAGAATTTTTCTCTTCAGCAGACAAAGTGACATTAAAATCACCACCAATAACCCAAGGGTAAGACGTACTTTCCCTCACCACAGCCAGCTCCTCCCAAAACTCCTCCCGCAGACTTTGATCATTAGGACCATACACATTTGTGACTCGACAAACATTCCCATCTGCAAATTTCAGAGCTAGGGAAATCGAGAAATTTCCAATATGAGAGGAAATCAAACTACAAACCGACGGATCCCACATACTTAGCAGTCCCCCTGCACTCCCAACTGCTAGCTTTGCTCTCCATCTAACTTCTCCCTCCCCCCAGATGCTTCTAACTACTGCAGCCTCTACACTATCCAGCTTGGTTTCTTGTAGCAAAACAACTTTCGACCCTGACTTCTTCAGAGACTCGCACACTACAGGCCTTCTTCTACCCGACCCCAAACCCCTTACATTCCAAGATAGCAATTTTAACTCCATTACAAACACCTAAATCCAAAGCAAAGTTATTCCTCAAGACTTTCTCCCCCCCTCACACTTCCCTCACTACTGCTAGCCTTGCTGTTTAAACCCCATGTTAACCGCATCATTTCTCTGCTTCTCTTGGATTTATTTCCTCCCTTCTTTGCTGCAACTTTCCCCCTTGCTATAAGAACTCTTTGTTCAACTCCCTCCAAGTATTTGATGTCTCCTCCTCCAACCCCTCTAACGAAATCCCCAGAAAATTACCCAATCCCAGTAGTTTTGATGAAACCCAGGAGGAAGCACTAGAGGTCACTGGTTGTTTACCTCCCTGACTCGACTGAAACAACATCAATCTACTGTTCTCCTGCGTCTGATTTGCTATTTCAACACCCTCAGTGATAGCACTTTTCCTTCTTACTTTCGCCTGGGATCTAACATGGTCTTGATCATCTCCCCTGTCTTCGGCTTGTGAATCTGAAACCACCATCGCAATTGGATCCACCTCAGTCAGGGCATCTTCTACTCTCGACAAGGCAAACTGTTGAGTATCTAGCTGGGTTTCGGCCCCAAGTGAAGCAACCGGTGGAGGTAGAGGCTTCGAAGTAAGAGAGTGAAGGTCCAAAGCTCCCCCATCGTCCTTCGTCTCCACCCGTAGAGAACTTGACCGTTGGTAATGAGAACCCCGGTTGACTCCAAAACCCTTAAGAGGCTGGTTGGACCATCCGAGATTCCTAAAAGTCGGGCTACTGGGCGTCCTATGTCCAAGAGGAAGCCTGGGCTCACTAATTGCTTGAGGCCTAGGCCCAAAACCCGAAATAAAGAGGGGGGACTTCGACTGGGTTGGAGGTGGCGAGATTGGCCCATTACCTTCTTCTAAATTATCTTGGGCCATGTGGTTCTCAGAATAAGGTAGCTGTCGGTCCATACCCTGGTTTCTTGGCGAGCAACCCTCCCTAGGTGCCACATGCATCTCAGCCAAACACTCTTTAATTAGGCATTTAATGTCCTCTACTTCCAAAGTCTGCCCTCTAGCCCTAGAGTTTGAAATTCGAAACCCATCCCATTGGACACCTCCCTTTGAGATCGGAGGGCTCGGGATAAAACTGAGCCCGTCTCTTCTTCTCTACCATCGACTGTCAGGGAGCTCGACTGAGCACGAGGATTCTGATGCAACACACCTGCAGACGTTCGGGGTTGGAAGCCTTCACCAGATTCTTCAAAGACCAACATCTTGGTACAATCCGAAATCACTCTCCCCTCTCTCTGAACACCCCCAAACATCCCTTCTCCCCCTCTCCATCTGCATACAGACGGCAGAAACTCTGACCAGATTTGGATGAAAAACAGGACTTCCCCCGCAACAACTTCAATCTTGTTCAGAATGGAATTCCCCCTACGAACCTTAATTCTGACCCACTCACAAGTAGCAATCTCCGGTGGCAAATCATCCGTCTTAGTGAAGCCCCTACAGGCATCACCGATGGATTTTGTTACACTTGGACACTAGAGAAGAAGAGGGAGACCGAACACCCTGATCCATACCAACTCCAAGTCCTCCCCTTCAGAAAAATGATCTGGGTAGGAGCAGCCCGCACTCGCACCCCACCAATCCAGCAGGAGCGGATTTCTCCCCAGATGCCAAGGCCCATTCCGTAAAACCCATTCCGCATCAGCTCTCGAAGGGTAGATGAAAAGGAAGAGACCATCTGCCATTTTCTTCACTTTTACTACCCCACCTCTCGCCATTGCCTGTTTATCCAAGTCTCCACTTCCCTAATCCCCTCCCCCCACCGAAACCTCCCCACCAAACAGTTCCACAAAAAACTCTCTTCTTGCATCCGCCTAAGGGTCAGTAACTACAACCCATTTGTCGCCAACCTTCTTCACCTCCGACGACCCAAAACCAGGCCAGGCTCCTGTTGCTTTCGCATTACTGTAGGAAAAGTTAGCCCTTGTCCTCGCTTCTTTCTCCACTCTTCGATACCAGTTGTTCGCATCCCATCTTCTCTTCCCTCCAGCAGATTTGCTGGGAGGGAAGTAGTGAGTCATATGGACTGAGAAAAAACAAAACTACAAACCCTCACTAAAACCAGTCACCGATGTTACCAAATCACTAAAACGAAACTACAAGCCCTTGTCCTCACTATACATGGTAATTCTCAGTATAGACTATAGATTGGTAAAATATTTTTCTATTTCTATAATTTCTTATGCCTTATTTTTTTATCAATAATGTTTCTTGTACCTTGTTACTAGTATTTTATAACCAAAACTACTTTTTTGTGAACCTGTTAGATTTACACGTTTCTTAACCATATTATGTTTGTCTAGATCCTTCTAATGTATCCACATCTATTATGTGCATCGCTAACCCCCACCCCCCAATATTCATAGTGATGTTTTAATCCTTGGGCATTATAAATCTTGGTTACTTTGAATGCCTTTCAAGAGTAGTTTGTACCAGTTGCTTCCAACATCATACACATTTTGACACATTGGATGAATCTATATTTGAATTGGATGTGCTCAAGTAAGCAGTATTTCTGTGTTTGTGGTTCTCTTTTCTTTGGAAAAATAAACAGTCTTTTAATGTTTCTTCTATTTTTAAGCAAACCATCTTGCAAACATACTGATACAACAATTAAATGTTTTTTGGATCAGAAGCTGATAAATTTTATTAATGAGTAGAAATGCAAAGTGTATAATTACATTTTATACAAGTATTTCCAGATCAATAATTAATTATTACTTCTTTAAATCTCAGAATTGGTGCTGATGCTTGGTCCCTTCTGTATCCATCAATACCGCAGAAGCTGCAGACACTGTACAATGATGGTTACAAGCTGGTTTGTTTCTCTCTTATGTTTAAGAGTACCAAATCCTTATAATGAAGTGGAATCTTTTCCTCCAAAAAACTTGTGTTCTTGTGACCAGCTGATCAAAGTCATTTTGCTTGTTAGGTGTGGAAGTAGTCTACACCTTTAATTTAAAAATTTCATCATTTGTAGGTAATTTTCACCAATGAATCAAACATTGAGCGCTGGAAGAATAAGAGACAGGTAGCTGTTGACTCTAAAATTGGACGGCTCAACAAATTCATTAAGCATGTCAAAGTCCCAATTCAGGTTTCTGTACAATTCTTTCTGTAATATTAACTTATTTGTGATTTTTCAGTGGTGCCACTAGATTCTGATGCCTTGTTTTTATATGGTTTACAACGATTGGAGTGAATAATTGAATAGTGCAAATATGGGTAAGGTCATTCAATTAAGTACTTTGTTTTTGGACAAAGAATGGAAATGATTCTTGTCTATTTGTTTATAATGACTAGAGTGCATACTCACCAATATGGGTAAGTCTACTCAGTTGAGTACATTATTCATGGTGGATCACTATGAATGAGAGGGGCTTGCATGTTTTAATGCATATGGTGTATCATGTATGTAGTCATAGATCATCAAAGAACTCTTGATGGTAACAAAATTGAGACATCTAATCATTTGTTCCTTCATTGCGGGTTTTCTTTCAGAATCTGGTCACATTTCTTTAAAGCCATCTCTTATAACAGTTGCATGCTCAATTCTGTTAAATTTCTTTTGGAAAGCGGGAAAATTGGAGTGAACAAGAAGGGTAGAATTCTATGGTCTGCCTTCTGGCTGTTTTTGTGGTATGTGGTGAAAGAAATAAGAGGATTTTTTTTTAATCAAAAACAATCTCAGGAGGAGAAGTTGGTAAATCGAATAGAGGATGGCTGAGCATTAACATACATTTGAAAGAGGATTTTTTGTCTTCTTTTTTGGCTGTTGATTTTTTTGGGGTCTCTTAAGGATGTTCATATGTACAGAAACTTTTTGTACAGTGAACCTGATCTACTTGTACAGCTTTCTTTTTATTAATACAATTTTAGTTTAGCTCTTCAAAAATAAAGGAAAAAAAGAACTCTTGATGGTTTATGTCAAAGGTATCCTATGGGCAGTCTGAACCATCTACTTTGTGAAACCTTTTGTGGCTATTGTACATATTTTTATTGACCATGAAAAGAAAAGATGATTGACTTGATAAACTAAAACTAATGGATGTTCAGCATTTTTTTGCTTATGTATAATTAGTTGTACCTGCACTATAGTTGCTCCATTTGTTGGACCATCTAGGTTGATGGACTCATCCAGGAAATTGCAGGTAGAGAGGCAGGTTACTCCATCCACATATACAAACTACAGCTGAATATTCTTTCTGATGATTGTTTTGAAGCAGGGTATTCTCTAGGGAAGTAGGAATTAATAGGTATTTTTTGTTATTAACTGTTAGCATTTGCCTAACTTTGGAAAATGTTTGCAAGGATTGTACATCTGAAACCTTCCTTGCCACAGCACATATAGCTTATGTGGAAATAACTGGAGATTGCAGGCAATTTACTTATGATACATCTGGATGCAGGTCTTTATAGCTTGTGGATTAGGAAGCACTGGTGGTCAAACAGAAGATCCCTTTCGTAAGCCCAAACCTGGAATGTGGAGACTAATGGAACAGCATTTCAATTCTGGCATTGCAATTGACATGGATCAGTTATTATTCTAATCTCTTTCTTTTCTCCCATGCTCTTAAGTTTTGATTTTTGATATATTGTTTCTACTAGTTTCCTGTAAGGAGTTTACATGGTGCTAGCTAATAATTCCTCAATAATTTCTTTCCAGTTGCCTGTCATCTACCATTTTTTTCTATTCTAAGAGGTCAAGAGACCATTGTCTGATATAACTTGTCTCTGCACTGTAGATCCTTTTATGTTGGTGACGCAGCTGGGAGAATCAATGATCATAGTGATGCAGATATCAAGTTTGCACAGGTGTTCTCAAAACTTCTTAATATACTTATCATTTTATTGTATTTTCAGATAGTTTAATTTCTCAGCATTTTGGTTTTATTTGATTCTTTGAATAACCATCCACCTGTGCTTGATGATGCAATCTGTTTCCCTTTATGTACTCATAATGAATGAATGCAAATTTCTTTGACGTCAGGTAAGCCAGTCCATGTAGTTTGAAAAATGCTAAAATCCTTGGTTGTTTGGGATAATCAAAATATCACAACAGAGATTGCCTTTCAAATTGAATGATCTTTCTATGAAAAATTCCCCCTTTCTCTTCAGTGGTTAAACTCATTTATTACAACAAAAGGAAAATACACATGAAAAGGCCTCAAAGGCCAAACAAATACCAATTACAAATTAGAAATAACCAAATATAAATATCACTTCAACAATGAATCACTTGCAAGTTCCAGTATGTATCTCTCTTGTCAAGAGAGCATGGTATTGGCACATGTAGGATTCCATGAGAAGAGTTACGCATCCTGGACACCAAAAAATGACCCTACCTGGTGAGATGATGAAAAGCCACCAAAGGAGCTTCATATCTATCCAACCAATATCTGTATTATCACCTCCACCGCCATGAGACTGAAAGCCTGTAGAGGTGGAAACTTTGAGGCGCTGGATTTTAATTGGAGCTAAAGTTTATCTTTTTTTTCCTTCCTACGTGGCAGCTGGGTGTGGATAGATTGGCATCATGGATAAGTAGATATTTGTCATTGGGTAGCATGATTGCTCTTACTAAGTGTTGTGGTTGGCTTACCAGTTTATTTCATATCAATACTAAAAGTTCCATCAAAAGCAGCGAAGATGAGGAAGATACAATGAGATTTTCTTTGGGAGGGAGGAGGTGAAAGGAAGAAAATTGTGTTGGTTAAATCGGATTATGTTTGCACGCCTAAGAAGTTGTGTGGGTTGGGAATAAGAACTATGGATCTAAATAGAGCCTTGCTAGGTGAATGGTTATGGAGATTGGGGAAAGAGAGAGATTCACTGTGAGAAAGTGGTGCTTAGTAAATATGTGGTGGTCAGGTTCGAATGGGATTCTAGAGAAGTGTCTTTCTCATTTCGAGTATGTCTATGTAAAGGGATTATGAAGTTCCAGATAGAATTTGTTAGGTTCTCTAAATTTATGGTGAGAGATGGTAATATGGTAAGGTTTTGGGAGGATGAATGGTGTGGAGATGTAAGGTTTGTGAAATCTATCCTAGGTTGTTTAAGCTGAGTTCCAATGATATATCAGTGGGTCAATTTTTTGAAAAGAGGAGGAACAGATTGTGTGGTGTCAAATTTTCAGAAGATCATTGCTTGATAAAGAAATTGGTGAGTGTGCCATGTTATTAAAATTGGAAGCTTGGAAGGTAACACTGTCAAAACTGACATGATTTGGTGGAAGAGTGCAAGGATGGGACATTTTCTGTCAAGTCATTTTATGAACCTTTGGTAGGAGGGCAAGTTGAGACTTGAGAGTGCATTTGTTAGAGGGGTGTGGGATAATCCAATCTCTCCTAGGCTTGAAGCATCTACATGGCTATTGTTGATGGATGGTATTTTAACTTTTGGATACTTCAGCTGCCAAGCATTTGTCTGATGTGTAATGATAGAAAAGAAGATGATGCTTCACATTTACTCATCTATTACAGAATAGCGGAATTTGTATGTTTTTTCTTTTTCCCATTATTCCAGGCTACAAGACCAGCTATGTCTCAGACAAAGGAGATATTCACTTAAATGTGGTGAAAAAAGGAAAAATTCCTGGTGCATCATCCCTTTTGCAGTGTGCTAGGGTATTTGGAAGGAAAGAAACAGACATTTTTGAAGATTAAAAACAACCAAGAGACAAAGTTGTGGCTGATATTGGATCTTTGGTTGTGGACTGGGCATTAGCACATTTAGAATTCAAAGAGGCAAAAGGAGAGGATTTTGGGGCTAATTTATGGACAGCTTTGGATAATTGGATTTATACAATAGATTTTCTTAAGGATCAATGGGATATTGGGATCCGTTTGAATTATGCTGACAGATTTGTTATAACTTGTTGGGTGCACCAATAGTTGTTAGGCCTGCAATTGGTTGGTAAATCCAATAGAACTGAGTAGAAGCAATCCAATTGTACTAGGATCTGGGTCTTGCATCACTTGTCCTGATTATAATTGGGCCAGTTTTGAGTTTTGATATTATGTCTTGATTAGAATCGGGTTAGGATTGGTTTTGGTTGTTCATCATCATCTAGGCCTTATTCCAACTATATAGGGTCGGCTATACGAGTCCTGTTTCACCATTCCATTCATCCAAAGAGATCGGTTTCAGTCCTCACAAAATAGTGCTCACACCATACTCACAGCCAGTTGCAGCTGTGCATTGGGAATATTTATTCATGAATAAAAACATACAAGTACGGAGATATTCCCAATACATGGTTGCAAGTGGCTGTGAGTACGGTGTGAGCACTGTTTTGTGAGGACTGAATCTTAGTTCTCCAAAATGATGCAGGAACCCTTGCTCATTTTCCACCACAACTGGGCATAGCAATGCTTCGGGGAATGATTTAGCATAAACACAAGAAGACAATTCAGGGTCCATGACCATAAGGTTTCCCTAGGTGTATGTGTATCATAAGGTTTCCCTTGGGAAGGCTAAATGGAAATTTACTTTTGAGGTTTCCCCGGCTTTTGACTTTTGGAAACAGCTTCTATGAAAAACTTATTTTAGCATTGAAAATTGACTTCCTGGAAACATTGAAAAGCACTCTCAGTTTCTTCCCTTTAATCTGGTAAATATAGGGTCCGTATCTGCTGCAAACACGTGCATAATGGACTATGTAACTAATCATAAGTGAACACGTCAGTGTTCCGTACACATGAGACCCACATGTGGTATGGGCTCCATGTGTATGGAGCACTGGCATGTTGACTGTAGTTGGTACATAGACTGTTATGCACGTCTTATTGGATTAAATTGGATATGGTTTGATTTGATCCGATAAGGATCCAATCCAATGGATGCATTCTAATATCTTCAAAGCATCTTGTCCTCTACTCTTCAAGCATTGAGCCAGAGGTCTGATACTAGCCCTCCACATCATCAAGCTCTCTGTTCTTCGTCCTTGCTTTATGCCCTTGGCTATCTGATATTCATATTATCTCAAATCCTCACTCTTCATCTTCCCATCCCCAAACTATTGAAGATCTAATATCTTCTTGCACCTGTTCTTTTTGCTGATTTTTCTTCCAGCTAAGTTGCCCGAGGTTCTGTCCATCTTCAATTTACCGGAGATGTACCACCTAACTGTGGGAAATTAATTTTGTCGATGATAATAAGAAATCTGTTTGTGATGAGAGTTTCAAGGTTTAAAATATCTGCTGTTGCCACGATCCAAACGGTCTATTGATATTAACCATTCGTTGACTAATGTAAACTTTACTTTTGTATGTAGGTGCTGGGATTAAAATTTTATCTTCCCGAGGAATATTTTGGCTTATGAAGGACGTCTAATCTTTACTTTTGCATCATAACGTTTATGCTCGCTCGTTCCATATCATACTGTCTGCAAATCAGAGGGACGAACATGGAGTTTATTTTGTACATTGGCAACCACCCAATCTGTAGTTTTACCTATTTGAGCCTTGTTTACAAGGCAATTTTTATGATGCCCGCCGGGAGAACTTTGACCAATCAGAATCCTCTGAATTTTTTTGATGAATATATCAGCTGATTGGTTACTATTTCACGTCATCAGATTTTTAGGTACTAATGTAAATGGCACGTGCTATGCATGCCAAAGTAAAGGATAAATATATAATCTCACATTATAAAATCAAATTTAACTTTTACGACCTACAAACTATAATACTTGAAAGACATGATAAGGACTGACAATTATTGTTTTGATTGATGATCCAAGGAAGTGGTAGGGCCCTTAACCTTTATGTTTGATAGTAGGTAAGTCTGAAGATTTGAGTTCAGGTTGGCGGCTCACACGTTGTGCATGCACCTCTCAACCTGCATTGGAAATATTTTCCGTACTTGTCATGGAGGGATGTTATTAATATACGGTTGGGATGTGCAGTGAGGTGCCGATGTGAATTCCTGAAGATTGTCCAATGGCAACGGTTTCCTATTTCAGTGAATACTTTAATTAGGGCGTGACCTGACCTGACCCGACTAAATGGAGGTTATTGAATCTGACCTGACCTTTTTCATTCTCTTATATATAACACATATCAACACAAATATATCAATGCTACAAAGTCTACAGGATGTATTTAGCAAGAGTTCCCCAGGGTGATTTATCAGGTCCATGCGTGTTTACCACTTTAATTCCATCCATTGTCCACTGACATCACTACTTACGGTCCCCTAATGATGGACATGATGTATGAATGAGCAAGATATGTGCTTTTAGGTCCAAAAAGCACAGTTTGGGACCTATTTGGATGGCTGAAGCTTGAAGCTTTGGTTGAGTTGTTTTGCAGAAACCACAAAAAAAAGGCTTCAATTAATTGAGAGCTCTATTTTGGCTGAAGGATAACAAATCTGGGCTTCAATTATCTATTTTGTGGATAATTTACATATGGGATATAGGAATTTGGGGGCATTTTAGGAATTGAATTATAATACTTTAGGGGTACTTCAAAATATGGAATTATGGGATCTTAGGATTTTAAGAATTTAGGAAAATTTTAGAAATATTTTAAATATCAATAATAAACCTAGAGATATTTTACTAATTTACCTTTAGGTTCAGGGAATTATATACAAAACCCGTCCCTGCCCCGTACCCGATTTGGGAAAAAAAATATTTTCCCTATCCTCGCCCTATCCCCATTTAGGGTTGGGGAAAACCAGCCCCATTCGGGGTGGGGTGGGGCAGGGCCCTGGTTTTACGAGGGAAATTGCCATCCCTGGATTTCATGTTTGTAATCAATAGCTTTCAAGGGAACGATTAAACACCTCCCATGGTCTTATTTTTGTTTGCTTTAATCTCTGTTTAACTATTGTATTCTCATGTCTTGTTTTTAGAAAGGCAAATGGGCAAAGGTGCAACGAACTGGTTGGCTAACTTTGGTCATAGAGTTATGGGTTTTGAGAGTCTTTCCTTAGGTTGGCAATTTAATCAATTGTATGTGTGATGCTTATGGGAGGGCTACCCTTGTTTGGTGCAAACTGCAAAGTATCGATATGCCTGATACATCAGTAGTGGCATATTGGGTATATATATATATATATATATATATATATATATATATTCAAATCTGGTTTAGAGGGGTCAGTTTAAGGTCCACCCACCCTTTGAACTAGTTGAGACCTTGAAACACCCCCTGTAGGAGTGTATTGGGAAGCCCCCGATACGTACCAATACTTTGAACCTTGGTTTAGTGTATATAAATATATGTATGTATGTATAATAATATTTGATTATTTAATCAAATTTGAATTTAAATAATTTGATTGGAATTTGCTCTGTTCACACCTTTAGCTTCTTAGGTGAGGCTCACTTGCAAAGCCAAAAGGCCATGCAAAATGGGCACTTAGGGCCTGTTTGAGAGGGCTTTTTCATGGTGGCTTTTGACTTTAAAATATCAATACAATATGCCCAATGCAAGGTGTATTGTATTAGTATTTAAAGACATGGATGGAATAGCATGATGCATGCGGACCTATGGTGGTGGTCATTACTGCTACTAAAATTATAGTGTCGGTTATAACCACTACTAAAAGTTTGACTGCTAGCATTAAGCCAACAAATTGCCATTCAATATTCATTAAAACTTCTTAACAGTTTGTATAGGTTTTCTTGACAATTTGGACCACACAAATATCCAATTACATTGGCAGTCCAGACTTGTTAGATCAATGTGATTCATTTTGTTTTCTAAGCTGGTGTTTGGAACTGATGCCATTTCTTCGAAAAATGGCACGACATCAAGGTTTTAAAAAGCTAAAGGCATAGTTGAGGTGTAATATCCCAAAAAAGGTGAGGTGTAAGGTGTAAGCTTTAAAGTGTTGTGTAAGCCACACAACTTAAGAATACAATTAATTAAAGTTTATAAACTGATAAAAATAACATATAGTATACCGTGTTAGAATGATAGAAGATATAAATATCTATAAAATAAAAGTTTATAAGTAGTAAATTTCAGCATTTAAGCACTAAATAAAATAATAACTAATCAACTAATAATTATAAACATTTTACATTTCATGTTTCAAAATGCAAATTTCTTAAATAATTCAAATAATCATTAGAAGAAAAGAAATATATGAAGAATCATCAATATAATTGGAGATTAGATTTATGGTCATTCAAAAGTTTAGAAGAAAGAAAAAACTAATTTAATTTGATCTATGCAAAAAAAAAAAATCAATAAAAAGAAAATAAAGGAAAAGAAATGAGAAAAATAACAAACTTGGGATGCTATATTTAGAACAATTAGAAAAAAGAAAATCCCTTGATACATCTAAAAGAAACTAAGAACTTGATTGGCCCTTTTTGCATTGAACTCTCTTAAAATACTAAAAGAAAATAACAAAACTTGATTTTCCTTATTGGTTTTTCATTCTTACTCTTTAACTTATTTGGCCTATAACTATTGAAGTGATTCTTCCATATATTTTGAACTACAAAAATGCATAAGATATTTTTTTTTTGCAATAAATCATTAAATAATCATTGATACTTGAGGCTTATGCCCTTTTACGTCTTAATCTACGCCCCACGCCTTGAGGCTTGAGGCTTACGCCTCATTTTGATAAACACTTAAGCCTTGCATTAAAGTTGTGAGCCATAAGCCTTGAGGCAAAATCTATGCGCCTCACCTCAAGGCATAAGCCTCATGATGCCTTAAGGCTTAATACTTTTAAAACAATGCATCAGTGCCACATCTGGTATCTGTTTTTTCAAACAACGCCTGATGCTTGGTCATGCATTTTTCCAAAAAACATTTTCTTAGACCATGCCTTAGAAATTGGGAAAAGTGTAGTATGAGAACACCCTCTTTACTACTGCTAGCAAGTAGCAACAGTTTGCTGATATGGCATTGAAAAGCGCCTATGTGACAGCAACAATAATGGTACCAATAGAAAAAAAGAAAAAAAACGTTTTCTAAGAAAACGACATATGCCAATGCAGCACCGTTTTCTCAAAAAATACCTCTTAGGAAACAACATTGGTTTCCAACACTGCCTTGCCACATGTGTTTTTATTTTGGAAAACAAAACGAATCACATTGTGGAACACCCCCTTAATAAACACCAGAGTGAGGTTTCCAATTGTGTTTTTGTTTTAAACCATATGCACAGTTGGATGATAAAAACACCCATCCCAAATCGCTTTACCTTTTCTATTTCTTCTATAAAACCATTCCTGTTTCAAAGATCTAGCTGGTTTAAAACAACCTAACCGGGTCATCGATCCATCACAAATGATAAAATTAACAAGATTCATTCCTGTAACCTCTTCCTTATGTAAAGTAACACAGCTAAAGAATTGGGTCTTGATATAAAAATATCGAACCACAACTTACACATATGGTATGAATATGATATGATAATATTTTATATTTTAATTATCTGTATGACATCAGGGTCACTGGGTTTGATCAATTGATCGAACCATTTCAGCTTTGTGAACCATCCGAGTCTTACTACATTGATTCAAATCCATCCGTTTTAACTTTTGAAGGCCAGACTCTTCTATCCTCCTATGGAGGAAATCACCATGGCCCATAAGTGCCACAAACCAGAGTGGTTTTCACAATTTAATTTGCCGGGTTTGGATATGGAACTACTTACGTAAAAAGTTCAGTATGCAATCCTTCTTGTTGGTGTAGATCTTCCTATACATTCCAAACACAGTCTAATGGGCAAATCCATGAGTTTTGAGCTTGGGGGTATTGGGTTTTGTTTATTTTATAGAGGGGAACGAATAAGATTAGTTAGCTATTTTATTGGATTTCAGAAAATAAGGAGAATTCCTTTACATTTTTCACTAATGATCTAAGAATCCAATTCTGATTAGCATTTTCACTAATGATATCTAAGAATCCAATTCACTTTTTCTTACTTCATGGTGCTTTTCATGTACTATAATTTTTCCGTGATCGAATATTTATGTGCCATTAATACTTATTACTTGTAGTAATTATTAAAAATAAAAAAAATTCAAACTCCTTTTCTTCTTAAGGATACGAGGAATTCTAGTAAACAAATTTATATAATTTTGGACGAAACGGAAAAGAAAACAAAGAATTGCATACCCTCACTATCATGTCTTTCAGAGATGGGTTTTACATAAATTCATCAATTTGCTAATGTAAGAACAAGTTGAATTTCAACTTCATAGGCATTTTAATAATTTAACTAGGAGTCAAGACTGCTTCATATATAAAAAGAATTTCTCATATGGGACTCAAGTGATTGCAAAAATTTGATCAAATAGGAGCTTGTACCAACTAGATCTTATTGGTATTCATTTTTTGAGATGTAGTTTTAGACATCTGATGACTTTTTAATCGATTGTTGTCATTGTTGAGGAGAGACCAACTATCAAAGAAATGTTTTTTTTCTTTCTCTTCTTTTCTTTTTCTACTATATGAAGCTAAACTACGGGTGTAAATGAGCTGAGCTAATTTGCAAGTTATACGATCGAGCTTGGCTCAAAGACTATCGAGCTGAGTTTGAGCTTTACAATACCTGGCTTGAGTAGCTTGCAAGCCTAATTGAGCTTATAAAGA